TCTCTCTCTCTCTCTCTCTCTCTCTCTCTCTCTCTCTCTCTCTCTCTCTCTCTCTCTCTCTCTCTCTCTCTCTCTCTCTCTCTCTCTCTCTCTCTCTCTCTCTCTCTCTCTCTCTCTCTCTCTCTCTCTCTCTCTCTCTCTCTCTCTCTCTCTCTCTCCTCTCTCTCTCTCTCTCTCTCTCTCTCTCTCTCTCTCTCTCTCTCTCTCTCTCTCTCTCTCTCTCTCTCTCTCTATATATATATATATATATATATTGAAAGCCAGCCCTTGCTCCCCCCCCCAGGCGCGCCGCCGTGCCTCAGGCGCGCCGCTTCCTCGACCAAGTGTTCCAGCTTGTCGTCGTTGTTCTTGGCCCTCTCGAAGGCCTTCCGGTTGTTCTCGGCTGCTTGCTGGGTGGGGATGCGGAAATAGTTATACGGTCGTGGTTGAATTGTTGCGTGCTGTTGTTGAGTTGCTGATGTTGTGTCGTGTTGTTGCGCTGTCGTGTGTTCGGGCTGCCCTGCGTTGTTGTTTGCTTGGTTTGCGTTGATTGCGTTTTCTTGGTGGGGTGTGAGGGAGTTCGTTTCGCTCTCCCAAACACCTGGGCCACGAACACGTCGCGACGCATGTGGAACAATTCCTCGCGCTGGCTATTGGCCTGTTGGCCAAGGGCAGCCTTCTCGTTCCGCAGGGCTGTGCGCATTTCGCGGTGTTTCTTCAAGTGCCTCTGCGCAGCCTCCTTGAGGAATTGTTTTACACACGGCTTGGCGACCCAGTTCATCAATGACTTGGTGCGCTTACGATCGTGGCACCTGTCCGTCTTCGTCTTGATTGCCGTTTTTGACGAAGCTGGCATGGCGTGCTGCGGCGCCCGCGCTGGTGAGAGAAGCATCCAAAACAACAAATATCCAAAGCCGAATAAGCTATGTTTGAACAACGTACGGAGGAAAGATGAAGATAAGAGAGAACAGGAGGTCCAAGTGAAGCAAACTTGAGAAGCACACGCCGGAGATAAGTAATCAACCGTACCAAAAACATGATAAGGTAAATCGAAAATGGATGCTACTCCTCACTCGTCTTATTTCCTCATCCTCCACCTCTATCTTCTCGTCGCTCCGCACCCTCCTGACTCGTCCTATCTACCTCTAGATATGCATTTACATCATCTTCATCTTCTCGTCGCTCCTCATCCCTCTTACTCGTCCTATCTAGCTATTTCCTCCTTCTCGCGCTGATCTTATCTAAGTCCTCTTACTACTGCTACTGCTGCTCATCATCACTGCTTCGCATCGTCTTATCGTCGTTCTCCGACTCAAGGCGGCATCGAGCTCCGAATGCCGACAGGGACTCGCAAGCGAGGCCGATGCAGCTGCAGCGTGGAAGGCTGCTGTCAGATCATGGCATGATTCGCGTATGCCCCCACCCCCTTATCCCCTCCGCCTCCGCCTCCGCCTCCTCTTCCTCTTCCTCCTCCTCCTCCTCCTCCTCCTCCTCCTCCTCCTCCTCCTCCTCCTCCTCCTCCCGGAGGGCCTCCGAATGCCTCGCCAGCCCTCGAGGCCCTCCGGAACCCCTCCGGAAGCCCTCCGAAAGCCTCCGAGGGCCTCCGAGGCCGCTGGCACGGAGGAAGAGGAAGGAGGAGGGCGAGGGGGGGGAGGAGGAGGACAGGGAGGAGGGAGGAGGGAGGAGAAGGAGGTCCTCTTCTCCAACTCCTCGTCCTCCTCCCCCTCCTCCTCCTTCTCCTCCTCCTCCTCCTTTCCTTTTCAGTTAGATTACAATAGGATTCCTTTTGTGGAGGATTACAATAGGAGTTTATTTTGTGGAGGATTACAATAAGGTTCCCTTTGAGGAGGATTACAATAGGATTCCTTTTGTGGAGAATTACAATAGGATTCCTTTTGTGGCGGCACTTGGGGGCAACCCAGGAGGAGGGGAAGGAAAAAAAAAAGACAAGAAAACCAATGAAATTGCGAAAATGGCAGGTTTTCAATGATTTTCAATGGTTTCGCAAAGAAAAATATTTAAACAAAAAATGCAGCATTTCCGGCTCTCCGGAGCTGAAACCAAATAAAAACAGAGCATTTCGAGCTCCCTGGAACGAGAAACGCTGTGTTTTAATATGTTTTTCGCTCCAGGGAGCTGGACAACTTTATTTTTATATGGTTTCAGCTCCGGAGAGCTGGAAATGCAGTGTTTTTTTTTTCTTTGCAAAACTATTGAAAATCATTGAAAACTTGAATTGTCGCAATTTCATTGGTTTTCTTGTTTTTTGTTTCCTTTCTTCCTTGGGTTGCTCCCAAGTGCCGCCACAAAAGGAATCCTAGTGTAATCCTCCACAAAAGGAATCCTATTGTAATCCTCCTCAAAAGGAATCCTACTGTAATCCTCCTCAAAAGGAATCCTAGTGCAATCCTCCGCAAAAGGAATCCTATTGTAATCCTCCACAAAAAGGAATCCTATTGTAATCCTCCTTAAATGGGATCTTATTGTAATGCGCCACAAAAGGAATCCGATTATAATCCTCCACAAGAGAATCCGATTGAAATCATCATCAAAAGAAATCGAGAGATTCAATTTGCGATCCTTGAAAACTCCTGGTTCCAGGGGACTTGTACCCTTACCCCCCTCCCCCTCCCCCCCCTCTCCCCCTCCCCCTTCCCTCCCCCTCCCCCTCCACCTCCCCCTCCCCCTCTCCTCCTCTCCCCTCCCCCTCCCCCTCCCCCTCCCCCCTCCGCAGTTACTCAATATGAATACTACTCTCCCTCTTCCCATGATGACGTGCTGGGAGTGTTCGCCCCCCCCCCCCCCCCCGCGTCCTGCTTTTTTTTTGCACACAGGATTCCCGGGAGTTGGGTGTTCGCCTGCATTTTTTTCATAAGGCTGTTCTCGCTGAAGCGCGGGCCGCATTTTCGGGCCCCTATCGTTCCGAATCGTGCTCCCGCTGCAGCGCTGGCCTCATTTCCGTGCTTCCGCTCGTTCCGACTCGCGCTCCCGCTGCAGCGCTGGCGTCATTTCCCGTGCCATGCCACGGTATGCGATGCAATGCTAGGTTGATACTACGCTTTGCGATGCTCTTCCACGCCATGCCATGCCGTGCTCTACAATGCATCGCGTACCCTTTCGGGATCATTGCCCTGCTCGACATCCAACTGTGCGAGTAGAGAGGGGATCTGCGCCATGGTAAGGGATGGGAGGGAGGGGTAGGGTGTCAGATATGACGCGAGCTCACCTAGCTTGCCCCCCCCTCCCCCCCCCTCCCTCCCCTCCCCTCCCCCTTCCCCCTCCCCCTCCCCTCCTCCACCTCCTCCTCCTCCTCCTCCTCCTCCTCCTCTTCCTCCTCCTCCTCCTCTCTCCTCCGCCTCCTCCTCCTCCTCCCCTCCTCCTCTCCGCCTCCTCCTCCTCCTCATCACCATCACCTTCCTCTTCCCCTTGGGCACACGGTAGTTTGGATGATGGACCCGTGAACCTGGCGCGTGGGCGCCAGATCCGCAGCTCGGGCAGGTGCCCCTGAGATTCGGAAGCCAACGCCGCATCGTTTGGCGACGGAGCGCGCCGATCCAGCGCGGAAGGCGGGGCCCGCCGCTGATCCACGCGGCTCGATTGATGCTTGCGCTTCCCCGACTCCTCCTCCTCCTCCTCCTCCTCTCTTCCTCCTCCTCCTCCTCCTCCTCCTCCTCCTCCTCCTCCTCCTCCTCCCCCTCCTCCTCCTCCTCCTCCCCTCCTCCTCCTCCTCCTCCTCCTCCTCTCCTCCTCCTTCCTCCTCCTCCTCCTCCTCCTCCTTGTCTCTTCCTCCTCCTCCTCCTCCTTGTCTCTTCCTCCTCCTCCTCCTCCTCCTCCTCCTTCTCATCATCTTCCTCCTCGACCTTCCATTCTCTCTTCCCCCTCTTCCCACTCCCCCAGTCGTCGCCCCTCACGATTGGGCGTCCGGGCGTCCCAGAAAGGCTGGAGGCCCCAGCTGCTCGAGACGTCCTCGGAGAAGGACCCGAGGCCCCAAACCGTGCGGTCACCCCGAATCCCGACCGGCTCACCACACGCTGAGGGCACCGCACCGCCTGGGGGCCACGACCGATGACCGCGGAGACGGCCCCCGCGGATGCCCCTGGTGGACCCGGAAGGTGACTGAAAGGGCCCTGGGACACACAAATAAATAGACACAAATAACAGGATTCTCAATATTTTCCAATATTTTCTGTTTTCCCATATTTTCCTGGAAGTCGACGATTCATTGTGTCTGTGTGTTTTTTCCTTTCCTGTGCGACTACCTACAAGACCACCGTAATTAACCCAACCAAGCCCGAAGACCCGAATTTCGGCTTGTGGGGTGGTACGGGCTCCCTGTGTGCCATTTCCATGCTCCCTGCCCCCCCCCCTGGAAACGAAGGGCAAATTGGGGCCCTCAGGTTGGGTTGGGGTGGTTTGGTGGTGATGTAAGATCCTGCAGGCAAGCCCGGGTCAGTACACCCCTGGCTCTGCAGGATCCTGCCAGCTCCGGCGCTCTTCCTGGGAGTAAAGAGACACCCCCCCGAGCTGGTGGCAATCCGTTCCACGCGCCCCTCTGGGGGCCAGCCCAAAGCGGGGTGCCAAAAGCTCGGAGGGAGAGGGGGAGCCGCCAGCCCCCCTATCCGGTGGTGGTGGTTCTTCCCGCTCGGGGGGGGGAGAGGCCAGCCCCCATAGCTGGTGGTGGTTTTCGTCTCTGGTGAGCACTGGCTGACCCCCGTTTGCAGCGTCCCCCGTCCCATTGGGGGAACCACAAGGTACCGATACCTAATTACTCCACATACCTCTCCTGTGGTGCGTTCGGACCAGGATTTCGAAGCGAATCCAGCGGTGGCGACGAGGGCCTCCCAGGAGGCTCAAAAAGGAGGAAACGGGCGAAGGGTAGAGATATGGGCACCTTTCCCCCCTCTGACTCGAGGCTCCCCAAGGAAACAAAAAGACCGCGGCGCGCAAATGCGCGCGCGGCCCGGGGGGGGAGGCCGGAGAGCGAGGAAAGACTGCGCGCGCGCTGGCGGGGGCGGCCGCTCCGGCAGGAAGTGGCCCAGGTTGGTGTCGCCCTGCCCCCTTCTTGGATGTGGGTGAGCAGAAGACGAAGCCAAGGCAAGGATAAATTCGGGTGAGGATCATTCGAGAATCTCGGAGATCCGGCGGCTCTGGAGGGTATATCGGGCGCCGCGGCCATTTCAGAGCGCTCTGAGAGCGTTCCCGACCGCTCTGGAACGGATAATCCTCGTCCTCGCCCCGTCCGAGAGCACAGAGACCCCCGACGTCATGACTTTCCATCACGTCGCCCCCCAAAGGTCTCGACCCATTCCCTCGGACCGGCATATCATCGTGAGTCGTTTATGAACGACGGCCCCGAGGCCAGGCAAGGGCCCACCGAGGCCAGACAAAACAAGAAAACCTTCCGTCGAGATTGCTTTCTTGCAGATGCGACACTGCAGGAGCAGCGTTCGTGCCAATCACCGAGACCAGCACAGCGCTCTGCGCAAGCCAGCAGCCAACCAATTGCCGATTGCCACAATTCATTATAAAGAGTTCTTGTCAGAGCTACCGTCGTCTCCTCGAGACGGAATCCTGGTTGGCAGCAAGGCACGATGACTATCCACCGCAGGAGTGGGACGCATCAAATCCCGACATGCATTTGCTATCCGACCTGTCTTTGGCTAATCCGCGGCATTCCCCGACGGCGCGCAGAGCGAAACAGTTACCGCCCCAGCAACGAGGCTGAATTGAACCTCGCAGGAGCAGCATGTTGATAATGAGTACCTTTCCTCACTTGGGCGAGAAGAGAAAACAGGTCTTACGGAAGATAAGCGGTGGCTTACGCGGGCAGCCAGTGCGGCACGCAACATTGGAAACGACGGCGTCTACGCGCGACCTTCCGCTGGCAACTGACGCCCAAATGCCGGCAGTCGAACCCGCGCTCTGCGTCGCTCACTTGCGCCTGGCCCCCTTCGGCAGCACTGGCGGACGGCCTGCTTGATTAGCTCAGTGGGACACACGTGTGCCGCAGGGTCCGACTTTCTGAAGGAGGTCTGCCAGACTTGACAAGCACTCCGATGTCCAGGCGATCTCTAGAGCCGAAGTGAGGTGACGCTGGCAAATAGACTGTGTCGTGCGCGGGTTAAGCTTGACAGTTGCGGGGCGTCCGTGACAAAGAAATACATCGACGTCGACCTTGATTTCCATTTGCGCGACAGCGTCATCACCCGAACTGCCTCACACTGTCTGCCGACGGCACCTCTGACATCGTATGACATTGAAACGCCTGCAACCGCATCCCACCAGCCTTTTAGGGTGTGATTGGTTTAGCGCGTTTCCTCTTCCATCTCCCCATGTCTCCCCTTCGGGAAAGGGGTTTATCACTGCTCCCTATTACTCAACACCCCCTCCCCGACGCGACCGGCAGCCAACCAGGACCTACCACCCCTGTCCCAAAAAATATGCAATCCACTTTGGGGCAAAATCTTGAGTCATAATCGGGGGGGGGGGGCGGGCAATTTGTATTGTTCTTTGACAGGGACGTCGGGGGTGCCCGCATATTGCCTGCTGCGCGCAGGGCCAACATCCCTATCAAAATCAATACAGCATGCACTTCGAGGGAAAATGTGGATCATGCGCAGGCACACCGCGATCACTGTGAATGGGTTTTGATTGGGACGGCGCGGGTTCTGGCATATTGCCTGCTGTGTGCAGGCCAATCAGGCGCTATGATGGCCACCCAGCCGCGATTGCGCACTGGTTTTCGACAGGGCTGGTGGGGGCCGACACGCTTCCCGATGTGTACTGCCACGTGCGCAGGCGCACCTGGCACGCTCTGCGCATGACCCGAATTGCGGGCAATACTTATATCCATATCCAGTGCGTCTTAGATTCTCTTGGAAGGGGCGCCGCATGGCCGAGGCGCACTGGATATGGATAAAGTCTAGCCTTTTGGGGCCAGATTTTAATCTATATCCAGTGCGCCTCATGTGTTTGGGGAAGAGAGCCCGAAACTCCAAGACGCACTGGATGTGGATGTAGACATTGCCCGCACGAGCGTTGCGCACCTGGCGCGACTGGAGCATGCGGCCCACATGGCGCACGTGGCGCATCTGGCGCACCAGGCGTTCTGGTACGCTCGGGCCGCAGGGGCGCCCGGCGCACCTGGCGCGCGCGGCGCGCCTGGCATGCATGGCGCACCTCGCCCCAGCGTTGCGCACATGGGGTCTGCTCTGGTTCCCATCAGCTACCCATCCAAAGACTACCGCTGAACATGGGTGCTACTTATGTGTTGAGACGGCGGAGGCGCGCAATCAAAGCGTTGGGCAAGCCAACGCTTTGACTACGCATCCATGGTGGGAAAGATTATTCGGTCCATCTAGATTATTCAGCATCGAAGGCCAGCTGGGACATTGACGGCCCCCCTTCGCCCCAGTACCTCCCGCGAGACGGCTTGTGGGCCCCCAAGAGGGTCCCCAAGGCTCCCAAGAGTGCCCCAAGAGGCGCCCAGCAGGCCCAAGAGACTCCCAAGAGGTCCCCAAAAGGCTCCCAAGAGACCCCTAAGAGGCTCCCTCGAGGCACCCAAAACGCTCAAAGGCCGCCAGGACCGCCAAGACGCCCCCAAGACGCCCCCAGAGGACTCCAAGAAGCTCTCAAGAGACATCCGAAAAGACTCTAAGGTATCCAACAGGCCTCTGGCCATTCTGCTCGACCGTCGTCCTCCTCCTCCTCCTCCTCCTCCTCATCCTCCGCCTGTTCCTCCTCCTCCGCCTGGTCCTCCTTCTCCTCCTCCTCCTCCTCCTCCTCCTCCTCCTCCCTTTTCCCCCTCCCCCTCCCCCTCCCCTTTCTCGCCTCCTCCTCCTCCTCCTCCTCGTCCTCCTCCTCCATGCTCCCCCTCTTGGGGTATGCTTCCCAAGCCTGCTATTCCACTGCATGCTCCTCCACATCCCTGCTCAGGGCAACTCGGTTGGGCATCGTTTCTGGATGAACTGGTGGGGTTACGCGAAGCGTCTGGAATGGACGCCGAGCTAGTTCGAAAGGCCAGTCACCAGTGGGACGCGAACTGAGCGAGATGGCGGAGAGGGATAACGAGGGAAGAGGACGACGACGACGACGATATCGTACAAGGGCGACTAACCACCGACTACGACGCGACAGAAGAATACACCCACGTGAATATAAGTTTTCGGAGGAGCGCGAAGATTTCCTGGATCGGCGCAGAACACCCCCCCCCTCCCGGGAGCGCGCCAAGGGACGCTCGGGAACTACTTTTCTCCCGGTCCTGGGCCCGCCCGATCCTTCCTAAGATCCGACGTCACCAAACATTGCAGCACCGCGACAGAACTCGACCGAAGCCCTGGATCCCATCCTTGCGTGCCACCTCTCGAGCCCAGCTTCGGGCCCCAGGCCGCCTGGGGCCCGAAGCAGGGCAGAACCGCCTGTTGTGAAAAAAATGCGACGGCAGGATCTCATGGTGTGAATGTTGGGTTCGTCGCCCACCCCCCACCACAACTCGGCGGTGGACAAACCTCTCTTTAACAAATTATCCCAGTGCGACCCTACCTAGGAGTTGGAACCCCTAGGAAAGCAGCATTATTAGTAACAGTAACGCTAAGCTAAAGCTAAGCTAAAGCTAAGCTAAAGCTAAGCTAAAGCTAAACTACAGCTAAGCTAAAGCTAAGCTGAAGCTAAGCTAAATATAAGCTAAATCTAAGCTAAAGCTAAGCTACAGCTAAGCTAAAGCTAAACTAAAGCTGAGCAACAGCTAAGCTAAAGCTAAGCTGCAGTTAAGCTAAACATAAGCAAACTCTAAGCTAAATCTAAGCTAAAGCTAAGCTAAAGCTAAGCTAAAGCTACGCTACAGCTAAGCTCAAGCTAAGCTAAAGCTAAGCTACAGCTAAGCTAAAGCTAAGCTAAAGCTAAGCTAAAGCTAAAGCTAAAATTAAAGCTAAAGCTAACGCTCCCAGGGGACTGGGGGGAACCGCGGGGCGGGGACTGGGGGAACCGCCCGGGGCGCTTTGCACTGCCCGGCCCCTTTAAGCTAAGAGAGTAAGAACCCTTCTAGGCAGAGCCTAGGTAGGGAACCACCCTTTAGTGAAGACGGCCTAAGACCGAAACCGACGGACCTGGACCCGCAAAAATGGCGGCCGCGACGCCCCCTCGCGAACCGAAACGGCCAATTCGCTAATCGACGTACGGAGACGCTGGCGAGAAGGGAGAAGGGGGCGGAAAAGAAGAAGAGGCAGCAGAGGAGAGGAGGGGCAGAACAGCGCCACTCGACTCATGGCGTTTTCACCTGATGACTCGAGACGCCGCCAGCGACACCAACGACGGCGAGGGCGACGGCGTCAACGCCGATGTCTCGCCGCGGCGCCCGCCCACGGCTCGCCATCGCGCAGCACAGGCGCGTGAGCGCAAGGCGCCCGCCGCCGACGATGGCAACGTTCTCGGCGGTGTACTGCGAGCTCTTGCCGCGCCTCCCGACGGGCGAAGGCGACGACGCGACGGCCCGGCGGGAGCTGGAGGTGCGCTTTCTCGCGCGTGTCACCCTCGGCCTCCCGGGCCCCCCACCGGCCCCGGGGACCGCCAACAACAACCGATCCCCCGGGACGAGAACCCAGCCCGGGGGGAGGGGTCTGGATCTCTCGGGAGCCACGGTGCGACAGAAACAGGACGTCGGCTGTCTGGGAAGGGGGGGGGACAAAAACACTATCTGATGGGCCTGTTTCCACCACCACCACCATAAGTTGGAGGGGGGAAGGAGGAGGAGGACGAGGAGGACGAAGAGGAGGAGGAGGGGGAGGGGGAGGGGAGGAGGAGGAGGAGGAGGAGGAGGGGAGGAGGGAGGAGGAGGAGGAGGAGGAGGAGGAGGAGGAGGAGGAGGAGGAGGAGGAGGAGGAGGAGGAGGAGGAGGAGAGGAGGAGGGAGGAGGATCCCCTCCCATTCCAACTTATGGTGGTGGTAGTGGAGACCAGGCCCATCGCTATCGGTGGCACGCCGCCGCGGAGAACCAACCAGAGCATCAGCACGCAGCACCGTGGAGGTGCACAGCTCCAGGCCCTCGGGCACGAGCGACGGAACCAGGACGCGACGGGCTCCCACCGGCGGCGTGCCGTCGACACTCCTGCCCCCTCCCGACCCCTCCCGACATCAGCGAGGAAGGAGGGAGGGAGGAGGGAGGAGGGAGGAGGGAGGAGGGAGGGGGAAGGAGGGAGGAGGGAGGAGGGAGGAGGGAGGGAGGGAGGAGAAGGAAGAGGGAGGAGGAGGAGGGAGGAGGAGAGGGAGGGAGGAGGGGAGGGGAGGAAGGAGGGAGGAGGAGGAGGAGGGAAGAGGAGGAGGAGGAGGAGGGAGGAGGAGGAGGAGGAGGAGGAGGAGGAGGAGGAGGGAGGAGGAGGAGGAGGAGGAGGAGGAGGAGGAGGAGGAGGAGGAGGAGGAGGCGGAGGAATCGGAATCGGAATCGAGCTCTGGGGGCAGTAGGTTCGTCTGACCGCGTGAGTTGCCTGGGCAATTCCTGGTAAAAAATTCACCAGTTTATAACATCAGAACAAAAAAACCTGTCTTCGCCCTGAGGACCTGTCAAGGAACTTCTGGGCGGCCGCTTGTGCAGGCAGGAGCTCTACACAGGCGGTCTGAGGCACCCTCGTTTGCCGACCAGGCTGAGAGGCCTCCCCGCACCACCAAAGCCGCGAGAGATTCTAAAGCAGGAGGGCGGAGCCACCCATCTACCCCCTGGGAGGTGGGGACACAAAGGCCACTCCCACCAACCAGGGCACAATGGGCAGTGCGTCATCCAGCCTCAGTCCCTATCCAAAAAATTGCTCAAAAAGTTTCGTGTGGGGTCGGGGGGGGGGGGGCGGGTGAGTTTGGCTCCCAGAAGAAGGCTCAGCGGCCTGAGACACACCACGGCCACTCACCCTCCCCCCTTTCCCCTTCCCTTTCCTCCGCCGCGTGGGCGGCTGCAGTACTAAGCTAGCGGCAGCAACACCTGGATGGCGAAGTGCGGCCTCAAGAGTCACATCACCACGTTCCACCATCTGTAGTAGTCGATGTGAATACTGCCCGATCTGAACACGCTGGATGGCCGTCAATCTCTGTGGCTGCCGAGGAATAACTTCCAACTCCACAGCATAATCAACCATTCTGTTCGTGCTCAGCTCTTCTTGGACTGTGTACCCTCGAGCACCTCGAGAAGCTCCTGAGCTGCGCGCTCCAGTGGGCCCCTGGGCGCTGGCCCGTGCTTCTTGATGCCTCCGTTCGCCACCAGTGCTGCCAGAATCGCCACCTGCACTGCGCCGAACTCCATGCTCATCGCGATCGTCACCTTCGCGAGGCCTGGCTTCCCGTCCTTCACTTTGGCCGCCTTGCACTTGCAGTACATCACTTTGCCCAGGAGGTCTAGCGGTGTCTTGCCCTCTGATACCACCTGCTGGGTCCAGAACTCGGTGAGACTGTTCGTGTGAGTCTCCTCCAGCTGTGGCTCTGTCTTGGACAGTCCGAGCATGAGCCCCGCGAAGATGTGCACGTACGGCGGGCCAAGGCGGTCTTGAGCGGCGGGGTCGCCTTTGGCCTTTTTGCTCTCCTCGTGGTAAGACTTCCCTTGAGCCATCACCTCGACGACGATAGGCGACTTGACTTCGACGAGCACCGTGTTCCACAGCATGCCCGTGATCTCTCTGATCTCGGCCGCGTTTGTCAGGCTTAACTTTGTGAGTACAATGAGCAGCTTCTTGACTGTGCTCACGTCCTCTCCCTTTGCCAGCAGATCCTGGATGTGCTTTTTTTTCGATCTGGTCCCTCGGCACCTTGGGCTGGTTCGGCACCGCGCTTCAGTCCCCACGAGGGTGCTGCGACTGCGAAGGGCGGCATACCGATAGCGAGGTGGATGTGTCGGTTCCAGCTCTGATAATCCTTTGAATGAAGGTACGTGACTGTGTAGATGCCCCTGCAGCTGCTCGAAGGTTTGAGCCCTAAACTCACAAAGATGGCAATCAACACGATCGGGATGATGGCGCTCGCCAATATAGCGTGAGCGGTCCAGACAATGTCCGCCCCTGGCCACACTAGATAAGAGATGTCTCTGGGCCGTCTTCACACACGAGAAAGTGGTCAGGCAGAAGGGGCAGACATTCGTGGTCACGATTCTTGTCCACGCGTCACGCTGTCCATGTTTAGCCAATCGATGTTGTGTTACAGCCTTATATGTGTCAAAACAAGCCGAGCATTTCAAACCATCTTCCAAGACAAATCCACATTTCCATCCTCCTCCACCCTTATCAGTAGATGCAGTAATACTAGTTTGAGTGGGTAGCTGATCTGGATGCCACTCTGGTGGCGGTATGGCTGACATATAAACTCCCTTACGCAATACAGTAAAGTCTTGATTAAGAAATTCCTCCTTCGCCTCCTCATCCGCGAATATCTGTGTCCACCCCGATCGCACACATACCAAGAAAACCGCCCTCATCATCAAGCCCCTCTACTCCCTCTTGTATATCCTGTCGTAGCTGTAGTGCCCACGGATTCGCATCATTTTTTAAGTCACCACCAATCAGCGTCGGTGTGTCCTCAAACGAGAAGTGTCCGAGCATGGAGGTGAGAATCTGGCCATTTCCCCACTGGTGGGCGATCATGGTCTGATACCTCCGAAGGCGCCGCACCCGCATCTCAAGACTCGCGGGTGCCATTCGCCAATGCTCCAGTACTTGTGCAGTGCTCAGTGCACGATGCTGCTGTCCAGTTTTGGTCTCTCGTATTTCATGGGCTGCTCCTCTCATCGCTCGTCTAGCATAGCGTGCTACCAGATGATCGAATTCAATATACTGTTGCTTAGAGCAGATGTAGGCTTCGTTAGAGTGCAGTGCGGTGTTTTGTACACAGCATATAAGAAGTGTGCGCTTCACCCTCCACGGGGTGTGCTTTAAAGACCAAAGAGCTCCTAACGAGTAATAAGCCGCCGCCGCCGCTTTCTTGCGGTATGTGAATTCTACTGCATAGCTACAGTTCGCACCGATACGCCCCCCTAAATAGCGTGCGTGCGTGCAGTGAGGAGCGGGGAGGGAGACCCTCTTCATGCGAAGCTCACGCGCGTCGGTCCCCGACCCAGGCCGCGAAAGCACTGGAATGATTTCCTGCTTGCTCATATTTTGCTTGCAGCCGATTTCGGCCAGGGCCAAATCCAGGAGGGCATTGGCTCGCTCGCTCGACTGAGCGAGGTCCTGAATCCCTTGGTGGGGCCCTCCCAGAAGAAACTTCAAAATATCATCAGCATAGAGACTAAGTGACACATCAACTGCACGATCCAGGAAAGGGCGTTGAGCCACCAACTCCGAAGTAACCAACCCCTCCGCCTCCAAACGTTTTCCCCAATCCTGGATGGCAGTCTGGAAACTCTGCACAAACTGGCGTACGATATAAGGGTCCCCCATCATGCCTCCACAGCCTGGTTTGAAAAAACGGGGGCCCTCCTCGCACTGCAGAGTTACTGCTGCTTCCTCGAATCGCTGGCAGCCAAGACATGCGAGGCCGTCTTCCATCAGCTCCACCTCAGCGGCACGCATGTCTGCCCACTTCACACTCGCAAAGGCATTCGTGAGGTCGTGAAGGTGAACCAACCCTAAGCGGCCAGCGCGACGGATACGCCACATCATGATCAGAGCGTTGGCAATTGCATTCTCTTTGCATCTGCGTGGTAAAAAGCCATGCACTTGGGGCGGCATCTCGGGGGTCGTAGAGTGAGTGGAGTACCAGCCCTTACCGAGCGGAGGGAGGAGGTGGATAGTACGAAGCCCCGAGGCCGTTCCCCAAAAGGTAGTCCCGTCGGCTTTTTTTGCCTAAGAGACTCCCATGCTAGAGTGCCAAAAAACAGGTGTACGCATACTGGTTCGAATTCCAAGACAGGCATCTTCCAAAATCGATCTAAAAACTGGCGCATCCAACTCGGGCTCCGGAGCCCCCAACCCACGATTCTGATAGGAGGCAACCGTGGGTGGGACCAAAAGTATCGCCAAAAGCTCGACAGGCGCGGCCCAGCTAGGGACGGCCTTTCTCTTGGGAGCTCTCAGAGCCCATCTCTCGAGTTTACAAACATCCGACTTGGCTTTTTTTCTGAACTGCTCGTCTAGCTGGCTGACTGAATCAGGCGTGAGGTCTTCATGCACTCGGGCTCTGGCAAAGTTGATCCAAGACGGGATCAGAGTCGCCTGCATGCCTCCTTCACTGCCAGGGAGCGAGAGTTGGTCCAGCCATTCCTTCTCGGACGGCGGGGCGACCTGTGCTGCTAGATATGGGCGACGCTTGGTGCCAAACTTGCTACCTGCCGCTCTCCTGGCCAATCGATACACATCAAAGAGTTTGCGCTTCCTCCATGCTTCCCACATTTCATTGATCGTCTTCTCTTGGAAAGCCTTCCAGTCCAAAATACGTTCTCGCTTCATGTGGCGCGAGAGGGCTCGCAGTTCCTCCGAAACTCTTCGCTCTT